AGAGAGAGAGAGAGAGGCAGGAAGCTCACGAGTCACGGACTCACGGAGTCTGTTGTCACAAACACGGTGCAGTGGGCCAGTGCCAGAGACCGAAGAGGCTGTGGGAAACCGTCGGCGGCAAGAAATAACTGACACGCAGATTTCCAAAATCTTCAAAGCCGGTAACTCGACGTAGCAACTACGACCGATCTCCCCGACGATCGATGACGGCGATTTGGCCAGACAATAAGAGAGTCGGCGACTGAGACAGAGCAGCGGGCGTCCGAATGTGAAAGGCAGAGACGAAAGGGAAATGGAGAAGTCAAAATTGGAGAAATTAGGTTTGCATTTTGCTCTCGTTTGCCGTCATTTGAGATTCTGACACAATATACATAACACAAGTTTGGTATTCTAATATTTCAGAAGGGCAAAAATGTCATAAATTGATATTTTTGATAGCAAATTTAAAAGGTGACAATTTTGATAAAGCAAACCCAATTTTTGATACCCAATGAAATTTTCTCTTGATTTTTTGATCGTTGGAGATAAAATAGATTCTACCTATGAGAGAAGAAATAAAAAAATGACAACTGAATTAGTGAAATAACGGTCAAAAATTTGATTTTAATTGATTTTTAATCTATAACAAACAATCATGAAAAATAATTGCTCCCCAAACAGGGGCTAAAGGTGCAAAACTAATGATCGATTCATTCAGCAAAAACAGCTGAATATATATGTAGAAAATGTAAATCAACTCATTTCATGCCATCAAACCATCTAAATACTGTGTATAGAGATTAGATCGAAAGGGGATTTTTCAACTTTTCCTTTTTGACCATTCGTGGCTTACCATTTCTCTCCTTTATACTACCATATTGTTTCTTCTTCATCGTTCTCCCAGTCAAGAAACGTAAGCCTACCAGCAAGACCACTAAGGAAACAACGACAATTGGAACAACTATAGCAATAATAACTTGTCTTGAGATTCCCCTTTTTCCTGTATTAAGAATAAAAGGTAAATCGGGATTCCAAAACTTGCTTCTATCTATAGTTGTTCGAGTATCTTACAGATTAGCACAAGTTTTCTAGCCTATGTTGAACTTAAAATTCTGAAAAATTGATGGAGATATACAGACATATGTAGTGGTTAGGAAGTGTTTAATTATGCGGGACAATTGACGGAAAAGAGATGTTTTGGATTAGGACGTTACCTTGTTTGTTATTAGGCGCAGGTGCAGGTGCAGGTGCAGGTGCAGGGACGGTTGTGGCGTTGTAGAAGTGGTAAATCTCATACCTAATATTGCAGCTAGAGGAAATGACCCTTGCTCCTTGCGTATATTCACAACATTTTGGTAAGATGGAGGTGGCATTTGAAAGGCAGAAGTGACAATCTTCACTAGAGAGATCAGGTCTGCACTGTGCCAGGGTGTACAACTTCACAGATGCCGTCAAGTCAGCATCTTTGGTAGCAAATTTCTTGCGAAACAATTTATTAGCAACCTGAACTACTACCTTATTCATCGTATCTACTAATACATAGATGAAATTATATCGATCACCACTGAAATTCTGAGTATTACGCATGATTAACTTAGATGACAAATCGACTCTGGAGAATATGGATAGATTCGAGTACCATAACATGCATTCATCATACCAAATTGTTGCCTCTTTTCGGTTGGGACAACGTTGTAAGATTATAGTTGTAGCATCTTCCACACATTTCTCACAGACATCGATGTTAACGTCACCTCTACATAGAAAGAAACCATAGATTGTGTCCGGAGGGCTGTGGCCAACAGAGTAGTTATAGTATCCATTCTCGTGGGGAGCATTTAAGGATAAAGTAAGGAGAAGTTGATTTAAGTTGGACTGATAGGTGCTATTAGGACTGTAAGTAGTTGTATTTGGGCAGGAATAATAAATAAGATTCACGAGGCTAACCCTTCTCGTGCTAAAGAAAAAGAGGAAGCAAAACAACAAGAAATACGCGGAGATGCTCAAGGCCGACATGATCTGCTACTGCTATATTTTGATCTCAAAAGCCTTCTTTATCCAAAACATTCCTCACTTTGTCCGGCTGCATATTATGATTAATAGCGAAATGAGATAGTAAACTTTATGAATGAGTAAATTTCTTGGAAATTACCAAGAGATGGAATAGAAAATATCTTTGATGAAGACAGGACTGGCTGCTAATTTAGACTTTTGAAACTCTTGACATTCGACAGCCTCCCTCCACCTTGAAAATTCTATATTTTTCCAACGTCCACTCAGTTGCTTCTATTCACGGATTTTGAAATTTTGAAACGACGATAGGAGACTTCATGAAAGCTAGTATAGGCATCATCTTGACTTTAGTGTCTCTATTTAGTTTGTTATGGATTTTAAAATATTCCACGTATGGATTTAATGATGTATTTTGTAAGGTTGATTTATCAAATATTATGTAGACATTAGGATTGAGAAAAAAGAATAAAATCTTATTCATTATAATGTTTAATTGTATCTAGTTCTATGTACCAAACGTACACCAAAAATTAAATAAGGTACATTTATGCTTCAACACGTGATTTGAATTTTAAGCAAGCATTCATTCATGCACAGTAGATGTTATAGAAATAAACAGGTAGAAAAAAAGGATCACTTTCCATGTGTTCTAGAAAAGTTGGACTGAAGCAAATAAGCTATAGACTAGACAGTAGACATAGGATGTCACAAATGTAATAACTTGACAAATATAATTAACTGGTCAAACTTGCCGAGCTCGACGCATTGGATTAGAAGTTTCGACATCACAAAAAGTTCGTATTAAAAGTGAATTTTTTTTTTTTTTTGAAATATGTGATTAAAAAGAAATAAAAAAAAATTATGTTTACATGCAAGATTAGGGAAAAAAAATTTTTTTAAAAATTTGTACCAAACATGTACTAAGTCACAAAAAGGTGTAATGCCATCACTATACCCAAAAAAATATAGTTCATGAGACAAATGCAATTCATCGTATATCACCCAGAATCAAGTCCAGAAATATACCCCCCCCCCCCCCGGGCCCCCCCCCTTTTCCCCCCCCCCCATAAAGGGAAAAAAAATTTTTTTAAAAATTTGTACCAAACATGTACTAAGTCACAAAAAGGTGTAATGCCATCACTATACCCAAAAAAATATAGTTCATGAGACAAATGCAATTCATCGTATATCACCTAGAATCAAGTCCAGAAATATACCCCCCCCACCCCTGGGCCAACTTCCATTTCCACCCACTCAATAGAAATGTTCCAGTATCGATTTGAACACCGAACTCCAACTCTGATACCAACTAAATGTATGCTATAGCTATCGCTTTGTCCAAAAATTATAGGTTATGACGTAAACACAATCCACCATATATAATCTAAAATCAAGTTCAAGAATCTACCACAAGCCCACTCCCCTGTGCCCCCTCGTTTTAAGCATTCTCATGTATTATCCATCCACTCCATAGGAATATTCTTAACACCGACTCGCGGAACCCCCAGTTTCAATACCAACCTGATCCATTAATTATATGGAAACGTTGCATATTTTGCATTGACTATTGAGAAATTGTATTTCTATATATTCATTGGTGAAGAATGCATTTCTGTTGTCGGCCAATGTACAGGAAGTTGAATAGAAACAAGAAAAAAGAAGTCATTGATGCTAACAACATAGAAAATAATCAAAACTTTCGTTGGGCACAAATTGCTAGATGAGTGTCTTCTCTTCTCCTTTCAAGCAAAATTTTAGCAGTCTTACTAAATTTTTATGTTGAAATTTGGCAACTAATATAATCTCATTCTTAAATTTGTTTGCACTGTGCCTTGAACTTTTAGAAAGTCTCTTCACAAATATTTCTTGCTGGTCTGATAAAGTATATCTTGAACATGTTTTATACACAATGTTAGGTATCGCACAGTATATAAGACCTTTTTTTTTTTCCCTTTTCTAAAATATATTGATTATTGAGTGCAGTTTACTTTACCAAACAAGTCGTGTATATAATGTTCCAAGCAAATGCCGGTGCAGTGGGGAAAAGGGCCGGCATGGTATTAAAAACGGGATTTAAGTCAAACCTAATATAGCAGTTGGGAACAATAACTCTTCCGCCGTCCCTATATAGACAATATGCAACCTGTACCTAGTTGCCACCGGCCATATCCTACAATCTGCTTACCGCTTTTCGTTGTTTAACTTTTGCCAAACGACATCCAGTTGGTGCCCAACAGACGGGGGAGAATAAAGACTCAAAATTTTTGGAAACTTGAATGACTAGAATTGTAGAGTAGTTTGGTGATCAAAATGAAATTCTTTGAAAACTCGAGTGATCATGAAGATTTTTTTTTTTTTACCGGATTTTACACGTTTCACGCTTCAAAACACTCGACATTTTTTCAGCTTCTCTTAATTTTTCAAAATATTAAATAGGAAAACATCACTTTCTGGATGTTCTAGTTTTGCTGTATGGAAGAAATTAGACTACGCTTTATATGTACGGTGTCACAGATGTTAGTAATCTAACCAAATTGCATGCAAATACTTTGATTATTCACATAATCAATATCTCAGTATATGTAGGTATTTGTCTAAGGTCTATTTTCCTGTCCAGGCTGTCCTTTTGAATATATATGTAAACAATTCCTGATGTCCAGATTTTAGCTATGTTTTGATGAGGCTAGCGGTACAAATTTATTTCTGGATTTAAAGATGAGGTGAGAAAGCATTAGGGAAAATAATTGACATACTTTAGCAAAAGAAACTAATAGAAAACATGAAAAATATCAAAGGCGTGTACAACCATTTGCAGTTCCTTTTTGCCCCTTTTGACATGTGAAGCAAACAATTATGAGTTTTTTGATAATGTGGTCTTTAAAGTATGGTATAAACAATAATAATGCAGAAAAAACATGAATTAAAATTTAGTTTATCACTCTATTCAATATTATATAACAAACACGACTTCAACGATATGGAGGGGATTTTCTGATCCATGGGAGCAAAGGTAATCCTAAAAGGATAAACAGAGTAGAAAAATCATAATTAACTAGTCCACTAACAAAATTTTTACAACACAAAGTCTTATTTATTTCTTGTGCTTTTGATGACAATATTCTATCTCGGATATAAATCAGTAATTGATGCTTCATTTATAGAGAAGGCTGTTGAGGTTGACGTGGATTTGTCTGAATCTTGCACTTTGGGCATGTTATGTGTTCTACTATGGATAAAAAATGCAGGTTTGCTGGGAACAGCAAGAGTGGCTGAATAACTATTGAGCGTCAAAAGTATAGAAGCCATGTTTGGTCGTTCATCAACATCTTCTTGAACACACAATAAGCCAATTTGGATGCATCGAATTACTTCATTCCTAGCATATGAGTTTTGCAGCGTCGAATCTATCAATTCCAGGGGTTTGTTGTCTCTCCAAAGCTTCCAAGCCTGCACAATAATAGCCGGTCCATTTTTTTAAGCTCTAATCCTAATTACTATAGTATACTAATAAATAAGAGCAAAGCAAAAACGCGACTTTTGGTCAATCTATCACAAGTTATTTTGCTTGTATCTACAGAATTTTTCTCTTATCTCGAAAGCATCATCATTTTTAACTCCACATATATGGTAAGAATATATGCCAAGTATAATGCATTGACTATCCAACATGAATGGATGAATAGTATATTAGACTTTATTTGATCTAGCTAACACATATATTTAGAATGTAATTGTAAATTGGGTTAATAAAAATGTCCTCAAGAGTAATGTGGAGTTCACACTTACATAGCTTATGAGATCCTCGGCACCATCTGATTCGTAGAAGCTACTATTCTTTTTGCCACTTATGATTTCCAAAACCAAGACGCCAAAACTAAAAACATCTGACTTCACGGAAAAGTGGCCATGCATTGCATACTCCGGAGACATGTAACCACTGCAGGCCAAAAAATCCATAGATATGTCTTAGAGGTAATAAACTCGAGAAAATCTATAAAAGTCTTTGATTATAAAAATTCCACTAATTGCCTAATTCGCGAAATTTATACTCAAGGAACACATGAATTAAACATATGTAGTACAGATATAATGCAGAACTTACTATGTCCCAACAATCCTACTTGTATTTCCTTGAGATTGATCAACGCCAAAAATTCTCGCCATGCCAAAATCCGATATTTTTGGGTTCATGTCTTCATCTAATAATATATTGCTAGTTTTGAGATCGCGATGTATAATTCGTAGACGAGAATCTTCATGAAGGTAAACCAATCCACGTGCTATTCCTCCTATGATCTTGTAACGTTTTGACCAATCCAACAATTCCCGTTTCTCTGGATCTTTACATCCATTAAGATAATAAATCAGATTAATTAGCTCTGACTAACAGTCAATTTGTAAAGGTCAAGTCTCATAAATGAAAAGATAAAAGGCCATAGATTAAATATTTATATTGACAATTTATATTTCTATATGTTTTTTTGGTGTCTTTGAAAAAAAAATGATGTGAAAAGGTAAATAAATCAAGATTGCTGCTAACCAAATAGAAAGTAATCGAGGCTTTTATTGGGCACGAATTCGTAGATGAGTATCTTTTCTTCTCCTTCTAAGCAAAACCCAAGTAGTCTTACTAGATTTCTGTGTTGAAGCTTGGCCACAAGAACAACTTCGTTCTTAAATTCCTTAGCACCTTGCCCTGAATTTTTAGAAAGTCTCTTTACAGCTATTTCTTGTCCATTCAAAAAAGTACCCTACAACCATATTTGTGACAGTGTTAGATAGTATAATAAATGAAATTTTAGCTCGTTTTTGTTCTTCAATACTGTTAGATACTTCTCCAACTTACCAAATAAACCATGTGTATAAAAATAATCCTGAAAATTGTGGATGAAAGGGGATAATGACCTAGAATTATACGTTATCGTATACTAGCATACTTCGAATTGTATTTCGTTACCTTGTAAACACTTCCAAATCCACCTTCACCAATCTTGTTATCAGGAGAAAAGTTGTTGGTTGCAAGCTCAACAGTGTTCAAATCATATTGCAAGGATTCAATTGTCGAAATATCATTTCCTTCGTCTACACACAAAATACCAAATCGTTATACAAAATTTCATTTTTAGTTTGGAGTGAACATGTCTTATAAAAGTCGACGTATATCAAAGAGCACAAAAATCATGATTTCAAGTCTCGTAACCACCATTATATGCGGTAGGCTTTTCGTTTTAAAATGAAAATCCAATCTTACATATACACGAGAGACGTGTATTTGAATAAATAAATACGTCCATCTTTAACAGCTCTAGTCTTTTGGATGAGGACAGACTCAACACAAAATCTGAACAGTGCACTTATTCAGAAATTTAAACTAGATCAAAAGGAGATTTTTTATGTTCTACTTTGCCTTTTGGATCCTCATATCTTACCATTTTCCTCGTTGACAGCATCGTAACGTTTCCGCTTTGCTCTCCTTGTCAAAAGGAAGCAGCCTATGAAGAAAATCACTAAGGAAACAACAATTGGAACAACTATCGCAATAATAACTTGTCTTGACATTCCCCCATTTCCTGCACCCAAAACACAAAAATTGGTAAAGATTTTGTACCGTTGAATTAGAACCAGAAAATTAAAATTTTGTACGGTTTCACTTTTTTGTGGAGCATATGCAGTTTTATTAGTTAATCATAAGGCTACTGTTTAAGAGTGAGGATGTTACCTTCACTGGTTGTAGGCGGGGGTCGATTAGGCGGTGTTGGTGCTGGTGCAGGGGCCAAAGTAGAATTATAAAAGTGGTACATCTCATACCTCATATTACAGCTGGCGAAATTTACTCTTGCTCCTAGATTAAGATCACAACATGCCGGGAAATTCGAGATACAGTCTTGAAGGCAGGTATTGCATTGACCGCTCGAAAGATCAGGGGTGCACTGCGCCAGAGTGTACAATGTCTGAAATGCTGTGAAATTAGCTTGTCTGGTAGCAAATTTTTTACCAGGGAGATCATTTGCTGCTTCTGTTGCTAATTCATTCAAGGTAGCCGCCAACACAGTTCTGAATCTATCAGGTTGACCAGTGATATTCTGGGTGTTCCTCATGATGAGTCTTATATTTTGTTCAGACCTGGAGAATATGGATATATTTGAGTAACGTAACATGCACTCATCGTACCAGATAACTGCTTCTTTTTCGTTGGGACAACGTTGTAAGATATCCGTAGTTGCGTTTCTTACACACTCTTCACAAACGTCAGAAGTAACATCACCCCTACAAAGGAAAAGGCCCTCGATTCTGTCAGGAGGGCCACGACCCACCGTGTAGCTGTAAAATCCATTGTCCCGGGTAGCATTTGAGGATAGAGCAAGGAAAAGCTGATTCAAGTTGGATCTATAGGTGCTATTAGGACTGTATGTAGTTGTATTTGGGCAGATACGGTAAAGATAATTCACGGAGCTACTGAACCTAAAGAGAAAGAGCAGGCAAACCAAGTAAAGATAGCCAGAAATCTTGAAGGCTAACATGATGGTGCTTAAAAATCTTCCACCGAGTTAATTTTACGAAAAACAGAGGCATATAATAAGATTATAAGATGTGAAAGGAGTGGCTGGCGGTGATGGAAGACTTGATGTGCCAGTCAATGGAATGCAAGTTGTTTTGGTTGTCGTTGTCCTTGTGGAAATTAAGAAAGAAGATAGGAAAAATTAATATTTGACGGAGATAGGAATCTGCTATTGTTGGTTTTACATGGTATAGACATTAAAAGCCCGTTTGGCACGGATTAAATCTAATTTTAAATTAAGTTAAAGTCAAACAATCAATATTAGCCATATTTTTCATGGGTCTCACAACATTTTAATCACACATTTCAAAAACTTCTATCACAATTTACTAAAAAAATCTAATTTTAATCCCCATTAAACGCCCTCTAACTCAACTCTCGACATTTGGTCAAGCTTTAGCTTGCCAAACTTGTCCATAAACAAGGAAAGACGAGTCTCCTCGTGTTGGCTACATTTTTTTCTTGAATAACAATGTATTTTTGAATTATCTAGATAGATCAAATATACCGATTTGTCTAGTTTCAAAATGGCATGGCACGAGAAAGGCACTGCGTGACTTTTTACAATTAGTGCCTTGTGGGTCAACCTGTTTCTGTCATCGGACTATGTCTATCAAGTTCAATTAAGCTTGCGTCCTATATTTCACCATTCAACTTGGAAAATGTTGCAATGTATCAGATTTGTTAGAATTGAGACAAATCAATACGTGAAAAGCACGACTTGACCCACGAGGCTTGTAGAGTGGGGAGGCTCACCACTACGCTTTAATTGTGGTAGGCAAGCATCGGTTTCGATTCATGTGGAATTTTATTAATAATATATTTTTAATAACCGTACAATTCCTTCAAACGAAATTCCAAAAATAAAAAACAAAAAAATGGGTCCACAAATGCTTTAATGCGCACTTGAGACAAAGGCTCCAACATTTCATATCTAGCCCCTAATCATTTTGAATTAAAATTCAATTAAAATCTCAATTCAAAATCAATTACACATTTTAAAATTCCTATAAAAAAAAAATTTAATTTTAATCCCCACCAAATATGTTAAAAATTTCTTATATATATACACACACACACTTTGAGAAATATTCAAGATAATATAATAGAAGAAATAATTTGGATTAGGCTAGCTTAGTGGGCGAGACTCTTTAATTAGGCATGTTAGGCGTTTTGAGTTCGGTCGTGCCACTACCTATCAAACGTTTGAGTAAATCTCATGGTGGTTTATATATATATATATATATATATATATATATATATATTGGAGTATATGATGAGGCTGAAGAAGTTTCTAACCTCACATATTATTATTTATATTTTGATATAATAGATTTTATTGTAGAGAAAAGTTGGATAAATAAAGCTGTACTATTTAATATTGGGGTATTTTCAAAAAACTTTAATTTCATGGGTGTAAATTGAAAAATATTCACTTTTTAAATTTAGCACTAAACTGTCTATTATACCTTTAATGAAAAAAGAAGCAATTTTTTTTTTTTCAATTTGTTGTGGATTTCGAGAAGTAACTTTCATGAGAAATTACATTAAAATGATGTTATCGACATTTCAAATGTCATTCTCGATATTTGAATCTCGTTTATATTTGAAAAGTATATATGTCAAATCACAATATTAAATGTTGTCGACATTTTAAACGTTATTCTCGACATTTTAAATATCTAGAATAACATTTCATTTCGAACATGACATTTCTCTACACTTGAAATGTAATTCTCGACGTTTCTGTGTCAATGAGAAAAATAACATTAATTGTAATTTGACATGTGCACTTTTGAAATAAATATGGCAGATTATGTGTCAAAAATTTATTAGCCAATAAAATTTTAATTTTTGCAAAAAAAGTCCATTTCTTATCTTTGTGTAGAATTATAAATTGTTCAAAGGGGTATATTGGTCCAAAATATTAAAAAATAGACATTTTTGTAAGGATTTGTGAAAGTGGACATTTTTACAATTGAACATGTGAAAGTGGATATTTTAAGTAATTTCTTCTTTAATATTTAAAGATGAAAAAGCATGCATAAATGATAAATCTTGGAATTTTACACTAAAAAATAACTTAAAACATTTCAAGGAATCATAGTAAGTTACGTGTTGCATCAAATGATTCAAATGTATGGATGACACGAAACAACAAACAAGGAAAAATTGACAGTATGTTGTTTATAAGTAACCAAAATTGAACGCGAATTATTACTTTCTCAATTACAAGTACTTTACATTGAGTTATGATATTTAGTTTAATTAGTGTTAAGCGACAGTTTAAATAACATTTTAGAGGTATTTTAAAAAATGTCTAATTTTATGGGTTGACCAATTGAAAAATGGCCATTTTTTAAATTTAGAACTAAATTGTCTATTATGCCCTTCATGAAAAAAGAAGCAATTTATTAATTTTTTTTTCAATTTGTGGCTAATTTCGAGGAGTAGCTTCTATGAGAAGTTACATTAAAATGATGTTCTCGACATTTTAAATGTCATTCTCGATATTTTAATCTCGTTTATATTTTAAAAGTACACATGTCAAATTACAATATTAAATGTTCTCGACATTTTAAATCTCTAGAATGGTATTTCATTTCGAACATTACAATTCTCTACACTTGAAATGTAATTCTCGACGTTTCTGTGTCAATGAGAAAAATAGCATTAATTGTGATTTGATATGCGCACTTTTGAAATAAATATGACAAGTTATGTGTCAAAAATTTATTGGTCAATAAAATTTTTGCAAAAATGTTCATTTCTTGTCTTTGTGTGGAATCATAATTGTTCACAGGGGTATTTTGGTCCAAAATATTTCAAAATGGACATTTTTGCAAGGATTTGTGAAAGTAGACATTTTTGAAAATGGACATGTGAAAATGAACATTTCAAGCAATTTCCTTCAAACGAAATTCCAAAAATAAAAAACAAAAAAATGGGTCCACAAATGCCTTAATGCGCACTTGAGACAAAGGCTCCAACATTTCATATCTAGCCCCTAATCATTTTGGATTAAAATTCAATTAAAATCTCAATTCAAAATCAATTACACATTTCAAATTTTCTATAAAAAAAAAAAAAATCTAATTTTTATCCCCACCAAATATATTCAAAATTTCTTATATATATACACACGCACACACTTTGAGAAATATTCAAGATAATATAATAGAAGAAACAATTTGGATTAGGCTTGCTTAGTGGGCGAGACTCTTTAATTAGGCATGTTAGGCGTTTTGAGTTCGGTCGTGCTACTACCTATCAAACGTTTGAGTAAATCTCATGGTGGTTTATATATATATTGGAGTATATGATGAGGCTGAAGAAGTTTCCAACCTCACATATTATTATTTATATTTTGATATGACAGATTTTATTGTAGAGAAAAGTTGGACAAATGAAGCTGTACTATTTAATATTGGGGTATTTTAAAAAATGTCTAATTTTATGAGTGTCAATTGAAAAATATTAACTTTCTAAATTTATCACTAAACTGTTTATTATGCCCTTAATGAAAAAAGAAGCAATTTTTTTTTTAATTTGTTGTGGATTTCGAGAAGTAGCTTTCATGAAAAACTACATTAAAGTGATGTTATCGATATTTCAAATGTCATTCTCGATATTTGAATCTTGTTTATATTTTAAAAGTGTATATGTCAAATCACAATATTAAGCTTTTGTTTGAGCCCCATTCTTTTAAAAAAATACATTATTCAACAGTATTTTAACATCATTTCTATCACACATTTTTCAATAAAATAATATTACACGCAAATCCAAAACTTTTCCATATTTTATAACCACACATTTCTCATCAATACACTATTCAAAAATTCATTCCTCCCCTAAGATGGGGCTCAAACAAGGGCTAAATGATCTCAACATTTCAAACGTCATTCTCGACATTTTAAATATCTGTAATGACATTTCATTCCGAACATGACATTTCTCTACACTTAAAATATAATTCTCGACATTTCTATGCCAATGAGAAAAATAACATTAATTATAATTTGACTTGTGCACTTTTGAAATAAATATGGTAGGTTATGTGTCAAAAATTTATTGGCCAATAATTTTTTTGCAAAAAAAAGTCCATTTCATGTCTTTGTGTGGAATTATAAATTGTTCAAAGGGATATTTTGGTCCAAAATATTCAAAATTAGACATTTTTGTAAGGATTTGTGAAATTTGACATTTTTGCAAATGAACATGTGAAAGTGGACATTTCAAGTAATTTCATCTTCAATATTTAAAGATGAAAAAGTATGCACAAATGATAAATCTTGGAATTTTACACTAAAAAATAACTTAAAACATTTCAAGGAATCATAGTAAGTCACGTGTTGCATCAAATGATTCAAATGTATGGATGACACGAAACAACAACAAAAGAAAAATTGACGGTATGTTGTTTATAAGTAACCCAAATTGAACACGAGTTATACAAGTACTTTACATTGAGTTATGATATTTAGCTTAATAAGTGTTAAGCAACGGTTTAAATAACATTTTAGAGGTATTTTAAAAATGTCTAATTTTATGGGTGTTAATTGAAAAATGTCCACTTTTTAAATTTAGCACTAAATTTTCTATCATGCTCTTTATGAAAAAAGAAGCAATTTATTAATTTTTTCAATTTATTGCAGATTTCGAGAAGTAGCTTCCATCAGAAATTACATTAAAATGATATTCTCGACATTTTAAATGTAATTCTCTATATTTGAATCTCGTTTATATTTTAAAAATACACATGTCAATCACAATATTAAATGTTCTCAACATTTTAAATCTTTAGAATGACATTTCATTTCGAACATGACAATTCTCTACACTTGAAATGTAATTCTCGACGTTTCTATGTCAATGAGAAAAATAACATTAATTGTGATTTGATATGTGCACTTTTAAAATAAATATGGCAGGTTATGTGTCAAAAATTTATTGGTCAATAAATTTTTTGCAAAAATGTCAATTTCTTGTCTTTGTGTGAAATCATAAATTGTTCACAGTGGTATTTTAGTCCAAAATTGACATTT